TTTTTTCTCTAATTCGAACCAGCCTTTCTCTCTTTCCTCTCTTTTCTCTCTTCCTCTTTCCTCTCCTACTTCTTGCTGTTTACTTTACAGTCAACGAACAAGACAGAATTCTAGGGCAGGTCAAACTTTAACAGCTCCCAAAGAGGTTTTAAATGTTAAACTATCAATACCTTTGGTGCAAAGTTGTCAAGGCGCCTGTGCCTTTATCTACAGACATCCTCTTCTCCTTGCTTATATGAGGGAGAAAACACATGGAAGGGATCTTGTTAGATGTGTTGTTATAAGGTTTGCCGCATCATTTTTACTTTGCAAAGATTGTTCACTTTCAAAGAGCCATTGCATTCTTTATTTGTTAGTGATGTGTGAACTAAAAGTAAATGGGCAAACAAACCAAAGGGTTTAAAAGTCTCAAGAACTATTCTTTCTGTTACATTTTAGAAAAATGTAACAATTGCCCTTTATTGTAGAGATCTTATGGTTGGTTGTTGGTGATGAAAAACCTACAATAGGGTACTTCTACTTTGCAATGGAACGGGCAAGAGAAAAGATAAAAGCAAATTTTGGTGGGAAAGAAAGAGAAAATAAGCCCATTTTGGAAATTTTTGACAGGTCCAGGTGTTGGAATAATATGATGCAACATCTTTTGCACCCTGCTGGTTTCTTTCTCAATCCAGCCCTATTTTATAAAACTAAAACTAAAAGTTAAGCATAAATTAGGAAGTTTGAGATAGGCTTTATAGATTGTATTGAAAGGATGGTGAGTAACATTGAAATTCAAAATAAGAACTCCCATCAAATGGAAGAATATAAGCATGCACGTGGCGCATTTTCTAAGGAAATGGCAATTAGACAACGGGAAACAAAACAACCAAATAATATCTACCTCTAGAATTTTATGGTTAATTCATTCATTTTTTTGTAAATTTATCTTTGAATTTGTATTCTCAAATTTAATTTTGTTCTATATTTGTAATTTGTACTTTGTAGTTGATCGGTGGCATACTTGTGGACATTGCACACCAAACCTTAGGCATATTGCATTACACATATTAGCTCTTACATGAACATCTTATGCCTGTGAGCGTACTAGAGCACCTTTGAGCATGTAAATAATTTTACTTTTAAATGATTTATGATTATAAAAGTTAAAATATTTTATTTCTATAATCTTCTTATTTTTGTTTGTTATGAATCTAGATTCATACCAAGAATAGGAACAGAGTCGATCAAAAGAGGCTTAACGATCTTGTCTTTGTTCAATATAATCAACGTCTTCGTGAGAGGTTCATGACAAGACGTGCAAATCCATGACAATTTAATCCCATTTGCTTCAATGATGTTGATGATAGTAGTGAATGGTTGACTGGAAGAGACCCATCAAATGAACTAGTTCATGAAGGTGGTAATCTCACATAGAATGAAGTGGATGAAGCATTAGGAGCAACTAAGTTGTTGAGGGATTAAATAGGCCGAGAAGAAGCATATATACAATTTATACACGTGCAAGTAGAAGCAGAGGTAGAGGTGGTTGTGGAAGAAGCGATGGTAGTGGGCAAGACAAAGGAAAAAGTGTTGTGCAAGAAGAGGAAGATGAATCCTCAATGTGAGATAAAAACATTGAGGATAATGAAGATGAAGATAAAGTCGTAGAACTTGATGAGGAAGAAGATGAAGGTGATGAGGATGATGATGATGGTGTTGATTGTGCTATTGATGATGTTGGTGGATTTAGTGGAGGGATTGTAGGTTCTTATTACCTAGACACTCAAATTAGTTAGATATTTTTCTTTATTGATCATCTATAAACCATTGTTTTAAAAGTGTAAGGCGCAAAAAAATGCAAGGGCCAACTTGCACTTGAGGCATGAGGCGTACACCTTTTTAAGCAAGGAGGAAAATTAAAAAAAAAAGTCAAAAAATTCATAAAATGCCAAATTTAAAAAAAAAAGCAAAAATTCAAAAAACATTAAACATAATGTTAATAAAAAATACAAACTTAAATTTTAGAATAAATGTTTTAAAAAACCTATTATCTAAAATTAAAATACATAAACATAGCATGTAAAGTGTATTCAAATGAAAATTTAAAAATAAAAGCAAATATATAAATCATTTTCAAGCATGTAAAACCCACAATCCCTATTTTTCCTTAATTGCATTGCTTCAAGTAGCTAATGTGATGTAAAACATATTGCACTCTTGATTCTATGAGTCGCCCTTGTACCACGCCCCTCGAAGCAAGCCTGAGCAAGTCTATGTTAGGGTCTAAAATTCTTATTTCTCACATAAAAAATAATGATTGTATAGCTTTCATTGCCTTTTAAGAAGATATTTTATAACTTTCATTCCCCCTATTTGCTAATGTTGTTCATTCATTCATTGCAATAAAATATATTCTAAAAAGGCAAAGAAAGTTATAAAATAATTATTTTTTATGTGAGAAATAAGAATTTCAGACCTTAACATAGAATTGTTCGGGCTTGCCTCGAGGGGCATGGTCAAGGGTCCAGGAGCAGAGCCCTTGACCCAACCGTTAGACTCAAAAAAAAAAAAGCAAAAAGCGCAAAATTTTAAAAAAGCACACACCTAGGCTAAGGCGCGTCAGGCGCACCAAGTGTGCGCCTATTGAAAGGGGTGCACCTAGGTCCTGGGCGAGGCACATACCCCAAAATGCGCCTTGCCTGTACGCCTAGGTGCGCCTTTTAAATCACTGCTATAAAATTCATGTTTTGTTATCCTTTTGTGGAGAATTGGATAAGTGCAATAGTTTTTTATTATAGTTTTATTCATTGCTTGATTTGGCTCCTACTTCCTATATATTTCCTTTTAAATGCCTATTGCCTAGAATAGATAAATTTCAGTCAAGGTATGTGTTTGATTTGATTCCTAACTGAATCCTTTTATTTTTTGTTCATTTATTGTAAATTTAAAATGCTTTTTGTTTAATTTATTATTTCTTTATGAATCTAAAAAAATAGTATTTATTAGTTTAGCTTTTTGGTGTAATTGGTTTGGACTCCTTTTTATTGAAAACAATATATTTAAATGTTGAACATGAAGTCATGAAATCATGCTAAATTGATAATATTTTATGTTTTTAGCTTTTTATATGAAACTTATACTCATTTAAATGAATTATGGTGTTAATAGTTAGTGTACATGCTTGCTAGTTTTTTTTTTTTGATAGATAAGTACATGCTTGCTAGTTAGCACACAAAACCAATAAAATAGCTTAGAAAAGCATAGGAAAAGTAAAAACTCAAGAAAACTACCATTTTAAAATTCCACTGCTTAGGCACCCGGGCGCCCTATGGTCACCTAGGCTCGCCTAGGCACCTTGAAAACTATGCTTTGGTGCCAAAATAACTTCCCTATTTTAAATGGAATTAGATATGTGGACACCACTATGGTGATACACAGTGATGCCATCTTTTCCTGAATTCTCCTTCAGGAGCAAAAAGTTGAAAATGTGCCATAATCTATTACAAAATTCTATAATTTTATATGTAATGACTAATATTAATTAATTGTAACAAACCTGGCAATGGCCGGCCACGAGGTGGAGAGTTAGCTGCAGATGACTGCTGACTCGGTGGATACCAAGGTGATGCTGCAGCCCTCCCCTCATACAGAGATTTTGTGGGAGACGTGACACCAGAGGCCCTTTTCGGAGATCCAGCAGCAGAGTACCCCCTAGGGGAGCCACTTGTGGAAACAATTGAGGGAGTTCCAGTTGGAGTAAAGCGCGGGGTGATATAGGGAGTCATTGAGAATCTCTGGCCAACATTCCTTGAGGCTGTAAACCAGTAATCAGGTTAGACAACATCAAAAAATAACCAAATTTTTCACACAAGAATTTTCAACAAAAAAAAGACCTACCATCTTCATTTTGGTTCACCATTTCCATAGAACCACTGCCAACATGTGGTGCTGTATACCCATTTGTCACCTCTTCTGAGGCACCATACATATTAAAACAAGGATGCATTTAATGAGATAACCAGAAATTCTCCCAATGAAGGAAATGCAAATGATAATTAACCATCATCATACAAATAACAATTATTTAAGAATCATGTCATGTAAGTTGAAAGTACCCTTTGCAGAACAGACTTTGGCAACTGATTGGTCACATGTTCCTATATCAACAGTTTCAGTTTGCTGCATGAGCCCAAAAAAAATTTAAAACATAGACATGTAGAAGCCATCTTAGTCATTCATGGTAAGCAAGCACATAGACAGGAACTCACAATCAAAAGCATGACAGGTTAGGAATCTTACAGATGAATTATCATCACTGAGTGACTGCATCAGTTGCCTCTTGAATGTCTCCAACTGTCACAGAAACTAGGATTTAGTTCCGTGCCAAAGCAAAAAGATCAAAGAATTGAAGATGTCTTTGCATGCACAATTGCATCTGCTCAATATCATGTTAACCTAAAAAAATACATTAAAAGTAGACCCAGTGTTTTAAAAGTGCAACGTGCAAAAAAAGCACAAAGGGCATTTTGCACCCAAGGCACAAAGTGAGGCACAACCTTTTGGAAGAAAGGTAAAAAATACTTAAAAAAATTGAAAATAATGCAAGTGACCATCCAACTCTTATATTACAGGCTTTACAGCATAGTGATTAATTTTGTTTTCCAATTCATCATTTCATGTTGCTTTTTTCCACTGCTATTGCCATCCTACCTGCCTTTAGTGCTGCTTTTTCCTCTTTGCTTTTACTAATTGTTAGTTGTTACCATTTTGTTCCCCTTTCTTTTTTGTGAATACTATTGCTTAAGTGCAGCTAAGAAAATCCTAATGAACTCAAAAAGAACTAAAATCTCCAAATCATCTGTATAGCTTTCAAGCTTTCAAATGTTTACCTATCCTGATAAAAGAAACACCTTCAATTCCCAACTCCTAATCAAGATGCCATCATGATTAGCCTTTGGTTATATTATTCCATTCACATCATTATTAGCATCAATATTTGTCTTCCATAGTAATACATTCTTATATAGTTAGTGGTCACCTAAAATTGCACCATTAACACTCCTAATGGTATTATGATGTCTGTAGAATTCTATTTTTTATTCATATTTGTGGAACTATACAGCAGAAATTGGTTCAAACGTGTATTCAATTCCATTTAATTCATTTGCCACACTGAATTATGCACCAGTGGTAAAATGAGAGGATGCACAATAACCACATTAGTACATTACCATGATGGATAGTGCATTACAAAATATATGATATGCTGGTATAAAGTATTTGATAGTCCCAAAGGCAACATGCTGTTTCTGAAACTCTAACCAGCATATATTGTTCATGACCTCCACACAGAAGAAATCAGTCCAAACTCTTATTCAATTGCTTTTCACTGTATGCAGCATAGAATTATAACCATCATATGCACCAGATGCAGAAATAGGGGATGCCAAAGAAAAACATTACCATATTTTTTATCAATATAAATCATATTGACATGACAGACGGTACTTAACAAGAGTCAAGAGTTGTGATATGTAGGCATAAACTATTTAAAAGCGTAAACATAAAGGATGATGTATATGGAATGCGTGAGGTTTGTAGTAGCCCTTTCAAACAGCTCCTACTGAGAAGTAGCATAGATGCACATAGAAATACAGATACAGTGCCAAATAAAAATATTACTGAATTAAGATAAACGCCCTAACCTATGCAGGACCAAATAAGAACCACGGGTAGGAAATACTAATAAGAAATACAAGTTGAAGAAAACGAAAAATGAAAAGAAAAGAACAAAAATAAACCCACCTTTGCCAAATCCCGGGTCAGTTTCTTTGAAGTCATAATCAGAGATTCTCGCTCCTTCAACAGCTTCATCTTCAAACACAAACAGAAAACAATCAACCAACGCATCTTCTCAAAAAGTTCAATTCCATAAAAAATATATATTCATTTATTACATTTTCGTCGAGAGAAACCCTCAACCGTGCATCCGTTTCCTGAAGCGCCTGTTGAAGCTGCGATACCTTCTCCTCCAACTCAAATACCAGCCGGTCCTTTTCCGATATCTTCTGCCGCAACCGCCCCGTCTCGGATTCAAGCTTCGACACCCGAGACGCAATCGCCATGGACGTGATCTTTCGCGCCAAGTCGAGCTGGTCATATGGATCCGTTGGAATAACAGACAATATCTCATCGGGCAAATGGAAATCCGTCCCGCCCCCACTGCTGTAATTGCCACTGCCCTGCGTCATCTCCCTCGCTTTCAAACCCTAAATCCCCAAATCCCACAAACAGAAACCGAAAAAAAATACCTTATTAAAAAAAGGAAAAAAGAAAACTAACTGTCAGAAAAAGTCCATGGAAGAGAACCAGAATCAAAGAGTTGCAGAGAAATTACTCGGCAGAACTCACGACTTTAGACGAAACTACAACGGGCGCTCTCTCTCTCTTCTCTCTCTCTCTCTTTTCTCTCTCTCTCTTTCTCTCTCTTAATCTATTTTATTGAATTGATGGCAATAGAGGACAAAAAATGTGTTCACGGCCGCGACTCGTGTTCCCCGGTTTGAAAATTTTGAACGTGTTTCCCTCCAAAGCCCAGGTCCATTTCCAAACGAACGACGGAACGAGCACAAGACTAAGGCCGCTAGTTTGTGGGCCATATCTGGGTGGTTTAATTGAAATTGTCCATTCTAGAGAAGGCGGCAAGGCCCAAGCTTCAGCCCATATAACAACGATGGCGTTTTGGTACTACTACTGAGTACTGATGTGATTGTTGTGGATGCGTTTCAACATCAAACGTGAATGAATGCAATGTTTTTGGTCTTTTTTTCTCCCAGGGGCCATACCCCCCCCCCAACCCAACCCAATTTCATTCCTGTTGATGAGATGTATTATTATATCATTTTAATTTTGTCAAATTTAAATAATAACAATAATAGGTCTTGAGGATTGAACATTAAATCACTTGGTCATTCAAAATAAAAGCTCAAGTTGTTATGTGAGGCCCCTAATTCTCTAGCAGTCGATAAATTGTTATTATGTTAGTATATATGCTTTTTGTTGTTCAATATTTTTTTTCATAAGTTTGCCAAAAATATATTTAAAATAAAAGTATGTTCAATAAATCTACATTTCAAGCAAACTTAAATAGCATCAGCTTTGATTTAGAAATCATTAATTTGACAATTTTTTAATCACCCCCCAAAATTTGGCAACACAACTAGGTGATACCAAACATCACCACAATGAAACCCATTGGCAATAATTGGAGACTGGTTGTTTACAACATAATTTATTGTATCTGTGCATATTATAATGATATAAGGACCAACGTAAAAGAGTGGTTAGGGAAAATTTCCCATGACAAATAATTATCGAGTTAAGTAGGTAGAGCTGTAAATCAGGTTGTGCCGTTCTGGGTATGACACAATTCGATACCACATGGGTTGGGCCTGGTATTACCCATTACTGTAGCATGCAGGCCGTATTGGGCATGGCAAGAATGTATAGGCCATGTCGGGTTTGAGTTTTCGGGTCCACAAGCTGGCATGGCATGCCACAACAATGTGGGTCATGTTGGCATAGGCTCGTGGTCTGCCTTCCAATGGCTAGTTTATGTATTTTGAGGGCTATATAAATATCACCCAATAGCTATAAATAGCTAGTTTACGTATTTTGTTTTGGGGAGAGAAAAATGATAATAATACCCCCAACTACTATATAACAACTTGTTTAGAGGCATTTGGATAAAATGTAATTAGCTTTATAATGACCAAAATACCCCTCTCAACAATTAAAAAATAATTAGTTTTTTAATGTATTTTGGACAATTGAATTAATTCCAATTTTTATAAATACTCTTATTCTCCACCATTCTCATCATACTAATTCTAATACTCTCTTATACACTCATACTCTCTCTACTATCTAATTCTCAACTTACCAAGTTTCGATGAGAAGAAGGATTGCTCAAGTATCCCAAGTTAGCAATTTGGGAAGCTTGAAGGTTTCAACAATTGAAATCAAGTTGAGATTCTAATCGGCAAATTATGTAAGTTGCAATTAAATTAATTTTTTTTAGAGTTTTTAAAAAATGGTCAGCTCAAAACCAAATTCCTGACATGTGTCAACTTTGATGATGTTCAGTCGTAGTATGGTAGTGTCATCACTGATATGGATGCTATTGATGTTGTTGAAATTTTCACCCCTAGTACTACTACTAAGGGAAAGAAAAAAAAGAAGGGCAACAAGTTGACTAACTTGATTTGAAAAACTATTTAGCATAGAAGAGGTTGAGGGAAGGAGAAAACAGACATTTGTTGTAAATGTACAAGTGACTTTAGTTATAGTAGCAACGCGGTCCTGGCCATTTGGGCAAACATATTTATGAGAAAAATTAAAGAAGAATAAGGTAAAAAATCATCACAAGCACAAATTGGTGCATGGGTTTTGGTAAATTTGAATATTCTCAAGAAAACAAGTGATAAGAATTAGCAAACTATATTGTACATTCTGAACAACGATATTTATTAGTTGAAGACACTAAGCTTGGAGGATTTTTACGACATTCTATAAATCCACAATTAAAAAAAAAATTATAAAATTACTATTATATCATATGCTTTAATTTTTTTTATTCATATAAACAAAATTTAATTTATACTTTATCAACAATTAATTCTGAAGTTTCAATTACTTTTGATATTTGGGCTATATTCGTCTTACTAAACATTTTATTGATAAAAATTGGCTTTTACAAAAAAATTAATTTTAAGTTTTAATAGGCTTGAATGACCACATACTTGCCAAATAATTGCTACAAGTATTTTAAATACTTTACATAATTATGAAATTAAAAATAAACTTGTTTCTATTAGTTTTGATAATGCTAGTAATAATGATTCAACAATAAATATTTTAAATTCTCAATTAAAACCATGTTTAAATGGTAAATTCTCAATTTTATGTATTCAAGATGCTTTATATATATATATATATAAGTGTAAATGCAATGTGAAACTTTTTTTGGACTAAAATTACCCCTCTACTTCTTTGTTGAAAAAGGGCATAAAAGCCATTTTATTACAACTTTAATGCCATCTTTAATAGCTACTAAAATGCCCATAATTGTGTATTTAACCCATCTCTAATGGTAAGGTTAAAAATGTAACTTCAATTATTATTTCCCACATCATTTAATCCCCTCCATTAAGTCTTATACTTAAATTTATTGAGGGTAAAAAATCAATTTTTGATATCAATATGATTTTCATAGGTTTTTCATTTCATTAATATTTATAACATACTAATTTTTAATATTATTCGTTTTAATTTTAAATTGGAATTATTGAACGTAACATATGGTATAGGTCTATATCGGTCGATAAAGTGCAATACACATTAATACTTGTATGTATCGTACCAATACTCATGACTAGACATGTATCGTGTTAGTCGTAGCCAAGAATCAGAGTATTGGTATTGGGTATCATATTAGACAACTTGGATATGGATATGAATACAAATATGCTTTGGAAATGCATGGATACTGATGAAAAGAAAATATGGAAAATACTTGGATACAATAGGGAAACACATACAAGTTCTATAAATACATTAATAACACTACATTTAATGTAAAAATAGCCACAAATAATGTATAAATGCATATGAAATTTATATTTTTAATGATATATGATGATAGTCAATTTTCTCTTTCAATTATATTCTGTTACATGGCGATAGAAACACTTTATAGCACCTCGATGGCACATTGGCAAGATCCCACTTGAATGCACCTTAACAAAGCAGCTTATGAAGCCTGACCGAACTCTAACCTCGCTTAAGGACACCTTAGCAGATCGACCTACCATTCTGGAGCATACGTTCAATTTGACTAGTCGTGCTTCTGACCAACTTGCTTAACTTGGGTAGCCTACAACCTGAGGAACCTCTCCAACCTACATGGAATGCTCTCTCTCTCTCTCTCCCCTATTCATACTGGATAGTTGACCTGAGATGCTCGCGGACATAGTGCCTACCTAGCAATGATAAGTTTGCTAACCCTCACCTCGTGGGGGAGCAAATAAGGACACCTATGGTGTCGTGCGGACATATCCCAGAAGTAACATAGATATACATCAACAGCCCGAACGTGTAGGACACATCTCAACCGAGCCTCAAGGTCTATATATGGGTAAGGCTTCACCCTTAGAAGGTACACTTACAAATATGCACACTTGCTCTCTGATTCCTACTTACACACTTTTTTTATCACCTTAGAAAGCTCGACGTTGACTTGAGCATCGGAGTTCCTTGCCCAAGACATCCACCCGGGCCCTCTAACACTGTTTTCTTGTAGATAAGCTATCATAGGTGGCAATCGAGCTCCATATCATCTCCAATAGGGATTGTGAACTTCTAACTATTATTAATTGGCGTCGTCTATGGAAATTCCTATACACAAAGGCCATTCTCTTTTTCACCACATGGGGGTAACAAGAGAGCAGTTTAAGGATATGGTACAACTAGTTTGGAGTACGGACATCCGGCTTAAAACCCAAGAGGAGTGAGAAGCAGCTGGACAATAGTTGCCTCGAGAGCAGCCTACTACCCTAGTAGGGGGCAGCTCCTGGCACAAAACTAGAAGAGCCGACCACCTGCGCCTTTGGAATTTCCTCTAGGTCCACTAGTGCCTGGGAACAACAACAACAATAACCTTTCTCGGGCTCACATGTCAGAGTAGTGGGACAACACTTATGTGCTTCAGGAAGGGAGTAGGGTGGACTCTTCTTACATGATAAATAACTCATGCTCCAAGGCAGCCTCACAGCGAGATAACTACAAAAGGCATCCTCGATGAGCTCCCACGAAAAGCTGACTAGGACCCTAAGAAGACCATTACGCCAGCTTGTCCAAGAACCAACAAGCTATTCGGTCCGATACCTCAGGTATCCCTAAGGTAAGCAAGGTGTCCCCTCTCTCACCTGAGACTGCAACCAAAGGACTTTAAGATGCCAACCTTGGAGACCTATGATGGGACCTCTGACCCATTAGACCATTTAGAGAGTTTCTAGGCTCTCATGCAAGCATGTACCTGGCCTTCTCAACCATACTCCAACAAATAGCTTGATTGTTGTACATTGGACTTGCACCAGGCTCCATAAAGACTTGGGAGTAGTTCTCAAATATGTTCATGGACCACTTCACAACAAGCTGGCGATATCAGAAGACCCCTACTAGTCTAATGCACATCCAACAACAACCTGAGGAGATCCTCCGGGAGTACATCCAGAGGTTTAACTTGGAGGCCCTTCAGGTTTGTGACATCGACCCAGAAGTAGCAGTAGAAAAAATCCTCCCATGGGGTTATATACAACCACTTCTAGTTCTCCCTGGTGAAGAAACTACCCTAGGATATGATCGAGTTCTTCGATTGGGCTAAGAAGTACAAGAACACCAAAGAGGCCATCCATGCACGGAGATACCAAGGGAGAGGAAAAAGAGGAAGGACTGGGATGAGGATCGTGGAAGAGTGAATGATAAGCAGAGTTGGAATGGGGGGAGCTCGTCCAGACAATCTTAGAATACACCTAAAAGGTACCACACATACACTCTACTCAACACTGAATGGGGTGAGATCCTAATGAAGATCAAGCACCAGGACATCCCAAAAAGGCCCCTTTGCATGAAAGGCAACCTAGCGAAGAGAAATTATGAACAATATTGCAAGTTCCACCGAACTATTGCCCATGAAACTGAGTACTGCAAAGAGTTAAAGAACGAGACCGAGGAACTCATCCAACACGGGTACCTCAAAAAGTTCTTTAAGAATGACCAACTTTCCAAGTAGTCAAAAGATCGAGAGAAGGAAACTGAGGAAGAAGCACTCATTAGAGTGATCGCATTCATCATTGGAGGATTGGTGATAGTTGGGTGTAGCAACGTAACCCAAAGAGAAGTAGTCTGGGAGCTAGAGATTAACCCCGACACCTAACCTTTGAAGAAGCTGAAACAAGATGAGACGATCTCATTCGTAGAAGAAGACCTAAAGAATGTTCACCTACCTCGTGATGATGCCTTGGTCGTGAAGATTTGATTATGAACTATGAGGTAAGATGGATTCTCATTGATAGTTGGAGTTTGGATAGCATTCTCTTTTTTTTTAAAGCATTTGAATAGATGAAAGTCGATTAGAAGTAACTTGCCCCAACCGATGACCATTAGTCGGTTTTAGTGGGGATGTTGTTTGCTGGATCGGGAAGATCAACTTGTTTGTAATAGTGGGGACCATGCCAAGAAGGATTATAGTTATGGCTCAATTTCTCATCGCTATGGCACTTTCACCTTACAACATCATCTTGGACCACCCACTTTTGCACGCCCTCCGAGCTATCATATTGACCTACCACCTCATTATGAAGTTCCCAACCAAGCGAGAAATTGGGGTCATTTGGGAGGATCAACTCAAATCAAGGAAATTCTATGTAACGGCATTGAAGAGAAAAGGGACACGATCCCTAAAAGTTGGCCAAAACCGAGGATAGCATATGGAGCAAGTTATCTCGGGGCCTCTGTTTGAGATGGATCCTAAGGAGAAGGTATAGATTAGGTCACTTCTTCATGACCCTCTTCGAGTTGAATTTATATGAGAAGTAAAGTACTCGGATTGGATTGTCAATGTGGTACTTGTCAAGAAGGAGAATCAAAAGTAAAGAATTTCTATCGATTACACTAACCTAAACAAAATCCTACCCGAATGATAACTTCTTGATCCCATGGATAAATAAACTAGTAGATGCCACATTGGGATTTGAGCTATTGAGCTTCATGGACACCTTTTCAGGTTATAATCAAATTTTGATGGACATAGAGGACCAAGAGAAGACTTCCTTCATTACTGAAATTGGTATGTATTGTAATCGAATCATGCCCTTTGACCTTAAGAATTTCGGAGTGACCTACCAGCACCTTGTAAACACTATTTTTAAAGATTTAATTGGAAAAACATTGAAGTTTATGATAATAACATGGTAGGTAAGAGTAGGACTTCTAATTCACATATAAATAACCTGACCAAAGTATTCGAGGTATTACGAAAATACCAACTGAAGCTCAACCCAAACAAGTGTATTTGGTGTCATGTTGGGGAAGTCCTCAATTATATAGTAACATCAAAGCCAATCCTAAGATGATCTATCCAAGTTGTATTGGATATGTAACTGCCGAGGTCAATTAAGGAAGTCTAAAGATTCACCTACCAAGTTGTGACACTTGGCTGCTTCATATGCTTGTCCTTTTCTCAAGCCATCAAGAAGGCAAAGGACTTTCAATGGACTAAAGAGTACCAATATGCATTCGATGAACTAAAAGAGTACCTCAACTTGCCTCCGCTATTGATAAGGCTTGAGCCTAGAGATGATCTCTATCTATACTTGTTAGTCAGAGATGAAGTCATTAACTCGATAATGGTCAAGACAGTGGAGAAGCTATCAATTATGTAAGTAGGGGTCTTACATGAAACTGAAATCAGGTACCTAAACATCAAAAAGCTCACCTTCACTTTGATTATCTTATCTCGAAAGTTGTGACCACAATTTTAGGCCCATATGATCATCATATTCACCGGCTTGCCGCTGCGCCAGATCCCACAAAAACATAAGGTATTAGGAAGGCTCATTAAACAAGAAGTTGAACTCAATGTGCTTAACATCCTATTTGAGTTACGACCTACTGTAAAGGCTCAGGTCTTAGCTAACTTCATTATTGAATGCACCTTTAGCTTGGTGACCTACTATCAAGGCACATCTTAACTTAGCCTGGAGGTCTATATTAGGATGAGTTTGCACCCTCAGAAGGTACACTTAGACACATACATACACTCATTCTTGAATTCCTACTCGCACGCTTTTTCATCACCTTGGAGAGCTCGACACCTATTGGCTTAAGCTAGAGCTCCTTGCTCAGGACATCCACCCAGGCCCTCTAACACTGCTTTCTTGCTAATAAGCTATAATAGGTGGCAACCAAGCTCCATATCATCTCTCCAATAAGGACCATGAACTTATGACCATTACCAATATATATATACACATGCTTTGCATGTGAGAATTCTAGATGATGATAATGATAGTAATAGAGTATCCAATTTTTTTTTATAAATTATGTATTTTTTTATATTTTTAGTTTTTATTATTAATCAAAAGCATATTGCAAAATTCAAAACATAAAAACCTCATCCCAATATGTGATAATGTGATCGAGCTGTGAAGTTTTAAGTATTATTGGCAAGCCTACATTCTTGGACAAATTATTCTTTTTGTAGTGTCTTATCTTTTTTTGTTTATTTATAAGAAAATGTAAGATTTAAATAGAGGGAATTGAATTAGGTGAAAATTAGTAGTTCAATTTGCAATTTAAACCTATTTAATATGGACTAAATTCAAAAATGAGTATTTTAATCAAAATAAAGTTCCAAAATCTTATTCATATTTCAATAATAGTGTAAATATAGAATTATAGATGCGTTCAATTTTTTCTTTAATTCTTTTGTATTTCAGTGTGTAAAAATAATTTTGATATGTCACACTTACTTTTTGTTTAATATGATAAATATATGATATTATACATGTGCTTGAATGTTTCTTGGAAAATTTATGTATTTTTCATTTTTGTTTTTTAAATTTTATTAACTTTTATTATTTATTTATGACATTAAATGTTAATACATTTGATCCAAAAGTTAAACTATTTATCTTTGCCAAACAATAAAATAATGTCAATTTTGGTTAGTTCTAAAGTATGTATTTTATTTTCATTATCAATAAATATAATTGTTGTTTATTATACTTCTTTTTTAATTTGATTAATAAAAATGTCATAAATGTGCCTAAATTTTTCTACAGTTTTATAATTTTCTATGTTTAGTTATATTTTAAAAATTTTATTACCTAACTATGACTTCATAGGTTGATGATTTGATTTAGATGGTTGAATTGATTAATCATCTCTTGGATAAAGAATGATTTTTTTAGTATGTTTTAAAATATAGGAGTTTATATTGTTAAAAATATTGACATAGATCTAATTAGTAGCATTTATTAGTTAAGAACAACTTAAATATAGGATTTAATAAGAGAAAATGAGAGTTAATTCTATAAACTTAATGAGAGGGGATTAAATGAGGTAGAAAGTAATAATTGAATTTATATTTTCAACCCTTACGATTAGAGATTGACTAAATACACAAATATGGGCATTTTATTAGCCATTAAAGCTTTAAAAAAATAATTTTTATACCCATTATCAAACAAAGAAATAGAGGGTAATTTTAGTCCAAAAATACTTTCACTTTGCATCCACACTTTTATAATATATATGAATAAATATATTATAATTAATATATCAAGATGGATATTATACAATCGTAATAATAATTAATCAATCAAGAATCCAAGACACAAAACATATGCAACTATTGTATTTTAAATATTATATCAATTATATTATATTTTACTTTTTAATATTAACAAAAAAGTCAACTAAATATTAATAATTTATAAAAATATATAATCTTAACTTAAAATATACAAAATCTGTTAAAATTTCTATCAAAATGTAAATTCATAATTTTTAATTAATATTGTAATGGCCTTTTTGGACGGAAGACTAACGGAAGGGGGTCTTTATCTCACGGGCATAGTATAAGGGGGTTTGTTGCAAAACAAAGTATAGAGGGGTCTTTGTCACATATCCCATACCCATAGTACAAGCAAGTTTCAAAGTATTGATACGATACGAGTTTCGATCATATCGTATCGATACATAGAAACGGCCGATATATATTTTTTTTTTAATTTCTTTTTCAAAGTTTAGTTTTTTAGGAAGCTTATAAGATATTTTTTATTATTAAAAAAAATTGAGAATCCCAAACACCTGGAAATAGGCATTTCGGACTGTATCTTTTTTAAAAGATACGATACGATACACTCCATATCAAACATATTATATCGATACTTTGAACCATGAATATAGGAGGGTCTTTGTAATTTACCCTAATGATTATAGAATGTTTGAATGTTCTAGAGTTCCCGATATTATAATATTTCTCTTGATGTCTTTATATTTTATTCCTAAATGTTCTAGAGTTCCCGATTTAATATTATCAGCTAATCCGAATTTGAACATCCAAGCGTGAAACCAGTTAAAAGAGACCAGCTAATCCTACGCACAAGACACTAGCGAGCGGGCCAAAAAGGGCAGTTAAGTAAGAGTACGGATCTGCTACCCAAAAGGCTACTGACATGGCACGACAGCCGCACATCGGGAAACTGATCCGTGCTCGTCTGGATATCTCCGTGACAGCAGATCTGAGCTCGATGATTAGCTCATCTATGCTATGTACATTAATACATGATATCATTTTCTCTTTTCTGCAACTGCATGTATTTATTTGATATTTCTGATTTGGACATCCGGGTTTTGATTTTTCTTTTTTTGGTAATGGGTTTTGGTTTGAAATCTTACCCGAGTTCTACAGAGATCACATGTTTCGTACTACACTGTGCTACCTGAAATCTGAAAACCACGGCAAATGTAGATAATCAAGATGAACCACCCAAGAGTGTGCAACGTGACAACCGATTTCTCGATCAGTCGATCTCTCTCTCTCTCTCCTCCCCAAGTCCCCAACTTGTGGATATCTGTAAACGCTAAACAGCTAAGGCCGCAACTTCGCCACATCGCTCTCTTCTTGCGCTACAAACGAAACTTGGTGAGACAGAGACAGAGAGCAGAAGAAGCAGAAATGGTGACAGCAGTAGAGAAGAAGACGGAGCATGTTACCAACGGAGCGCCAGGGTTCAAGCTGGTGGGATACGCCAACTTCGTACGCCACAACCTCAAGTCCGACCGGTTCCATGTAAAGCGCTTCCATCACATCGAGTTCTGGTGTACAGATGCTACCAACTCTGCTCGTAGGTTCTCATGGGGCCTCGGCATGCCCATCGTCGCCAAATCCGACCTCTCCACCGGAAATCTCGTGCACGCATCTTACCTCCTCCGCTCCGGTGATCTCGACTTTCTATTCACCGCTCCTTACTCCCCCTCAATTACCGGAAACCTGACCAACACCGCCTCAATCCCCACCTTCAACCACTCCGCCGCCCGCTCCTTCTCCGCTTCTCACGGACTCGCTGTCCGAGCTATCTCGATTGAAGTCGAAGACGCTACGTCTGCGTTCAACATCAGCGTTGCTCATGGCGCGAAACCGTCGTCACCCCCCGTTGAAATCGGTGATGGTGTCGTCCTCTCCGAGATCCATCTCTACGGTGACGCCATCTTACGCTACATCAGCCGCAAAAACCCTAACTTAAATCTAATCTTCTTGCCCGGATTCGAGAAATACGAAGAAGGTTCATCGTACCCACTGGATTTCGGAATCCGACGGTTGGATCACGCGGTGGGGAACGTTACGAATTTAGCGGAGGCAGTGTCGTACGTGAAAGAGTTTACTGGGTTTCACGAGTTTGCCGAGTTTACGGCGGAAGACGTCGGGACGAGTGAGAGCGGACTGAACTCAGTTGTTCTAGCGAGCAACGACGAGATGGTATTATTGCCGATGAACGAGCCGGTGTTTGGAACGAAACGGAAGAGTCAAATACAGACGTATTTGGAGCACAACGAGGGACCGGGGGTGCAGCACTTGGCTCTGGTAACTGAAGATATATTCAGGACATTGAGGGAGATGAGGCGGCGAAGTGCGGTTGGTGGTTTCGAGTTCATGCCGTCGCCGCCGCCGACATATTACCGGAATTTGAAGAACAGGGCCGGAGACGTATTGACGGACGAGCAGATAAAGGAGTGCGAGGATCTGGGGATTTTGGTGGACAGAGATGATCAGGGCGTCTTGCTTCAGATTTTCACCAAACCCGTCGGCGATAGGTGATCTCTCTCTCTCTCTCTCACAAACCATTTTTTTGTTACATGCTCCGCGAATTTGAATGTGGGTCCCGTTTTCAGAAAGGTTTGGATCCATCCAATGATGCGTGGGTCCTCTGCCCTCGCCTTATGGTTACACGCCATGTGGCAAATTAACCCTTTCCGGGTGGCAAATATCCAATGTTTTCCTTTCTGCATGAGGCTCTATTTGTTTGCAGTGCACATCTCCAGTTTGCACTCATGCAATTTTTGCATCCTACTTCATATCCAAACAAATATGAAACCCTCTTTCTACCTCCATTCTCACAAATAAATAACGCAAAGTTAATTCTACAGCAAAAAGAAAATAGAGTTTACAGTTGCATTCATTCGCATCGATGCAAATGAAATTTGCACTGCAAACAAGTTGAGCCAGAATGAATGTACCTTTCGCAATGAGAGAATTTTCCTCGGTTGGACAGTTTGTCACGGGGAGGGAGAACAAGATAAAAGGTAGAAACAAAATAGCAATAGATCGACTTTTTCTCTGTACCCCTTACGGATGCATCTTTTGGTGGGCCATATATTTGAAGAACAGTTTGTCACAAATATATCGACTCTTTTTCTCTGTACTCAATCACACAACCTGGATTTGGTATAATTAGTTGAAGGACAATGATCACTTGATAGATGTAGTCCACCACTTTGGTGGGCCATATATGTAGTTTCATCTACCATTCGATTTTCATCGGAAAGAATGCACTGTACGTATTTGTATTTGCACTATTCCCATACTGAGCCGAGGACTTGTTTGTTTTAACTGCAATTTCATTTGCACTGATGCAAAAGCATGGGAGTGCAAATAAGTTGAGTCCAAATTTTGGTTTAATTTGGTTATAGATTTTACTTTGCTTTGTTTATTTGTAGTGCAAATGAAGTAAAATAAAACCTTAATGCTGTGTTTGGTTGAAGTGTAATTTTATTTGCCTTAGTACAAATGCATGAAAGTGCAAATGAAACAAATGCAAATTCTCGTTTAATTTTGTTTTGGGTTTTATTTTATTCTGTTTCATGTCTTAATTTAATGTACTGCTGTCAAATACTCAAACAAAATAAGCTAAAATTTGAAACAAAAGTAGATCAGAATTTACACTAAAAATCATTTGCACTGCTACAGTTTTGCATTACTTGTACTCCCACACATTGAATCAGCATCCCTCTATGTGGGAAAAGTATTGTGGTCATGTAGGGAAGCTCCCTACCTGAGAATGTAACTTGTTATCATATTTATTGTTCTTGACTTCTAGTACTAACAGATCAATAACTTTTTCCCTCTTCTTCGTTTAGAGGAATGCTAGCTAGTATAAGAAGTGTGCGACTGTGTTAACTAGCATTTGTTGTTTTCTTGGGAATAGTTTGAGATACTCTAATATACTGTTGGAATCTCTAGGCATAATTGATCTATATGGCCTCTGTAAGTGTGCGACTGTGTATTGATCCATTATCGATGTGTTTGTGTCTGTCTGTGTGTATCATATATTTAATTTATTCCGTTTGCTTCCGTTGTTAATGATGAATGAAGGAATCTTTGAAACAGGAGTTTGTCTCATTTGGTGCAGATGAAGACCTGAAATGATTCTTCACTGACAGAATGAGCCATATTTAATTAGTGGATGCTTTAGCAATCTTAAATTAATGTATTACTGAGATTTTAGTTTGTTTTAGTTCATGTAAGTAGAGAAGGAAAACAGGAAATGTCAATGTTGTCAGGACTTGTCATGCCTACCATCTGATTATCTTTGCTTCTTCATTTTGGCAGGCCAACCATATTTATAGAGATAATCCAGAGAATCGGGTGCATGGTGAAGGATGAGGAAGGAAAGACATACCAAAAGGGAGGGTGTGGAGGATTTGGGAAGGGAAATTTCTCGGAGCTCTTCAAATCCATTGAGGAATACGAGAAGACCCTTGAGGTGGCCAAGCAGATTACCAAGCCAGCTGCTGCATGAGAAAAATCATTTCTTTCTTTCTTTCTTTCTTTCTTTCTTTCTTTATCTTAGTAGAAGAAAACAACTTGAAATTTGAAGTTTATATGTTCTTTATGCCGTTCTATCAAATGGATAATTATAATCCGTTCTTACTAAGCAATATTTATAACATATATAGGTCCCAATATTTGTAACAATTGGTTTAGGGAAATTTACACACACTCTCTTTCTTTCTCATTTCTTTTCCAGTTAAATGCAGCATTTATTCTTACCAAATCACTATATGCACAGAGAAAGAAAACAAATTAAAAAAAAAAGAGAGAGAGAAGCACCTGATTTATATGGTTTGCAAATTTGCCTACATCCCCATAGGCAGCAACTCTAAGCCTATATTTGGTTTGATAGAAAAAAAGAAAGAGAAAGTTGAGGGAAAGTTACTAACAAATTATGTGAAATTCCTTAAGAGCTTCCCCTCAATTTTCTGTCTCTCTCATATTTTCAATCAAACCAAACACAACCCTCCTTCTTCTGTATGTAAGCGAAACAATACAAGAAAGATATTCAGAATTGGGGAAAAAGTACAAATATGAATATGTACAGAGAAAAACCTTGTATTTGTACTCTTTCCAAACAAAGCCTAAAACTTTTCCTCAACTTTTTGTTTCTCCCTTATTTCTTATCAAACCAAACATAGTTAAAGCTATCTTCTTCAGCATATAAGAGAAACAATATAAGAAAAATATTCAGAATTTTAAAGTTGAGTATTATGCGTTTTCAAGTAATAGTGATGATAGTGATACTCTAGTTTTTCTTTCTTTCTTTTTAAACCTTTTCAGGATGATAATTCATAGATGGATAACTGAGGATGGGCATTAACATGTGAAACCATTGCAATGCTTGAACTCTCAGTATTTTATTTTTTTGGGCCTTTTGCATATTAAGTGAGAAAGTTTGGTAATTTGGTAAATTCAGTTATGTTTTCAAAATAATTATAAAAACAACGAGTGGGAGAAGTTTTTAATTTTTTAAAACCAAATTTCCCTTCATTTAAAACCTGTCCATACTATCATATTCTTCTCTCTTTCTCATCATTCTTTTAGTCTCTTGTCTCTAAGTTGTTCCTTGAAACTGCATAAAAAAAACAAACATTAGGAATAACAGAATAAAACAATAGAAATCTCCTCGAAGTTTTTGGTTGAGAGCCATCTTCATGTATTCTTGATCAGTCTCTCGGTGATAGTCGATGTCTCCTAATGAAAAACCAAAACTAGGACCCATATGGCCAATGAATAACCAAAGTGGGTCTGTACAATATCCCCAAAATTAACAAATGCAAAAGAGATAAGGGCAGATGTGTGTAGACAATGGAAGAGAGAGCCACTCTTCATGCAAACTCTGCCATAGAATCTCTATCAAAACACCGGTTAAGCAGACTTTGTTCATGGTGCCAATGAAAACGATTTTTGGTGCTTCACAGATGGAAATACATTGGAAATGGGTTTAGTGGAAGAGGAAAAAAAGGATAAATGAGAGATGAAACTAAAGAAAAATAGAAGTAAATAAACTAAGAAAATGAACTAAACTAAACATCGAACAAGATCCAACAGGAGGCAAAGATGCCAAGCCACCCGCTAGAAGAAGGGAAGCATTTTGGGGAACTTCTAGTTTTAAGAACTTCTGTTATAGCCCTGGTGAGATTGGTGGCACTGAATGAAAGGGATAATGAAACCAAATGGAAGAGATGTTACCACCCTCCTCCCGCCGGTGAGAAGAGGCATGTAGCCAACCTCGAGCTATAATGAGATATCTCACTGCTCCAAAGGATATTAAGACAAACTAGGGGTTAGTTACTTCATTCATAATTGGAGAAAAAGGAGAAACAGATATCCACTGTTGTAAGCCTTGTTCTCAAAGCGGACCCCAGGATACTTACTCTTTTGAATTTCCCAGTCCTCCCATGTACCATCGGAAGCGGGAGTGCCTTCCCATTGTATCAACATCTCAACTCTAGATTTGTTTCCCTTCTTAACAATTCTTTGTTCTAGTATGGTTGTGGGGTAGGGAAGTAGTGTTCCAATAGTGTTAAGGGGAGGTAGTGTAGTCATTGAATGGCATTGGTTCCCCAATTTCTTTTTGAGCCATGAAACATGAAATATAGGATGGAGCCTATAGCCAAGAGGCAACTCCAGCCTATATGTCACTGGGCCGATACTTTCTAACACCTTCTAAGGCCCATAGAAGCAAGCGGCTAGTTTCTGTGATTTTCTTAGAGCCAGGCTGCTTTGTTTGTATGGTTGGAGGCGAAGATAGACATAATCACCAACTTCAAGCTCCCTCTCACTTCCTGGAGTTGGGAGAGAACCTTATCCCTTTATAGGAGTTCCTCTTCAACTGATTGTGCTTTAACAGTTCCAGGGATGTATGCCAGTGGGTTTGGAGGTGGTATGCCATAGACAGTCTGAAATGGGGTAAGCTTGGTAGCTGAATGATAAGTGGTGTTATACCATCATTCGGCAAGAGCCAACCATTTGGCTCAACTAGGGGGATGGATGCTTCCGAAACATCTCAAATAAGCTTCCAAAGTTCTATTCAATATCTTGGTTTGACCATTGGATTGTGGATGGTAAGTCGAACTCAAGCACAACGTAGTTCCTTGCAACTTGAATAGCTCCTTCCAAAAGAGGCTGATGAAGGTTGGATTATGATCACTGACAATAGAGGATGGCATTCCATGCAATCTGAAGACTTCTTCCATGAATAACTTGGAAACGTTTGGGGCTGAATAAGGGTGTTTTAGAGCAATGAAATGTCCATATTTGGACAACTGATCAATGACCATCAGTCGAGATTCGCCTAGGTAAGGGTAAAGGTTGTAGTAACCCAGAGGTGTGGATATTTTTTATTTTATACCTCTAGCATATTTCACACTATCAAACCCATCCCTTTACTTCTGATCGGTACCCCCTCCAATAGAAAAACTGTCTAAGGTGGTATATTGTGTTTAGGTACCCTGAGTAGCCCCTTGAAGGTGAGTCGTGGGCCTCTTCATACATAGTCCTCCTGAGAACCGAATTTGGTCTTAAGGCTATTTACCCTTTCTCCATAATAGCCCATTTTTGTACTTAAATTTTTCTGGGTTGGGCTTTCCTTATTGCAAGTCCAAGATAATTTGTTGTAGATCTGGGTCTCTGTTTCTTCCTTCATCGACTCTATCCAATTGGGAACGAGCTGGGAGATGGCGAGCAATTCTTCTTCGGTTCAAAGAGAAAGGGCGTAATACAATGTTGTCCTTCCCTTTACGTATCACTATTTCATAATCGAAGCCCAATAATTTGGTGACTAGACTTTGCTGGGTGGGGGTGTGAATTCTTTTCTTCAAGAGGAAACCCAAGCTTATGTGATCCATCATTATCTTGAATTTTGTCACAAGTAAATAATGCCTCCATTTCTGTACTGTTAACACCACGACTAACAATTCTTTCTCATAGGTAGAGAGGCCCAGATTCCTCTTAGGCCCATGGCACTTGCATCGCTTTCTACTATGAAGCTCTTTGAGAAATCAGGTAGTGCCAGCACTAGTGCGGTCACCATGGCCTATTTTAGTCTTTCAAAAGTTGTTGTTGCTAGTCCACTTCCATTCACCTTTTTTAGAAGTTGTGCTAAGGGTTAGGTAATGACTCCGTATCTTTTCACAAACCTGCGATAGTACCCGGTTAGTCCAAGAAAGCCCCTTAACCCTTTTATGGATTTGGGAATAAGGCCAAGTGGTAATTCCTTTGATTTTCTCTAGGTCCATCTCAACCCCTTGGGCCGAGATAACATGGCCCAAATATTCCACCCTAGGTATTGCAAATTGACATTTGCTCAGTTTTGCAAATAATTTGTGGTGCTTGAGAATCTCTAATGAAATCTTCAAGTGGTGAATATGGGCCTCAAGGGATTCATTGTAGATGTGAATGTCAAGGATAAATTTTTGCAAGTGGTCTTTGAATATGCTGTTCATCAAACCGTGAAAAGTGGGTGAGGCATTAGTAAGCCTAAAGGGCATGACAAGGAACTCATAATGTCTTCTTCTTTAATTCTTATTTGGTGGTAATTAGACTGGAGGTCTAGTTTGGAGAGTACTTTGGCTCTACATAACTCATCGAGAAGCTCATCTATTATGGGCATAGGAAATTTGTCCTTTATGGTGGCATTGTTGAGGGCCCGGTAATCGACATAGAGGCGCTACCCTCCATCCTTTTTTCTTAAGAAGGACTAAGGCCAAGAAGGAGTTGGTATTGGGCCTTATGATTCTAATGTGAAGCATCTCTTTCACTAGAAGTTCAATCTCCCTTTTTTTGTATGGTAAGGTCGAGCAACAATGGGTCTAGTGCTATCCAAGAGGAAATGGCATGGTCCTAGGCTCGAGGGGTAGGCCCACAGGTTTTGGAAAAATTTTCTGGTAAGCATCCAATGGAGTTTGTATATACGGGTTCACCTTCAACACGGGCCCTTCTTGGGTATGAGTAACCATTTGTAACAAAAATATTTCATGGGCCTTGTCTATTGCCCTTTTAGCCTGACCCGTTTCAATTATTTTGGGTTTGGGCACCTTCATCCCTTTTAGTTCATGTGCTCCATCACTATCAAGGAACCGAAGCCATAAGGCACTAAAATCCTAGAGGACTAGCCCTAAAATTTTCAACCACTACGTGCCTAAGATGGCATCATATCTGGGTAGAGGTAAAAAATAAAAATTTGCAATGATGACCACACCTTTGTCACGGTCTAACACAAGCTTAGCCTTGCCTGTGCTTGGCGGGCTTACGTTAAGGGACATCACTATCATTTTTGCCAGTAAGATTATTGAGAAATCTCATGTCATCTTCAGGCAGACCTCCAAAAGCTTAATGTATTCTTTGAGGAGGGGTGGTCGACCTCCTTGGGTGCCTGACCATGGCATTCCTAGACCAACATCCCTTGTGGGACGGCCCTGGTTAATGGGTAGCATGGCTACCAGGGTTCCTCATGGGCGCACACATGCTCATGGGGATAGTGCATGGACCGGTACTGCGCCACCGATACTTAAGGGAGGCTTGGCATGCGGGCCTGGCCTAAGCATGACCCTTCACCACACCAGCCCCTTGCCTAAGTTGAATGAGCTATCCCGTTGCCCATAGCGCACGGGTGTGTTCCGGCTCAG